CCAGGCACACACCAGATGGCACTGCGTCCTTCCACTGCTCCTCTGCGTGTCCCGTTGCCGTCTCCTCCAGAGTCCTCTCTTCCTGTTCTTGCTGACCCGGAGTCTGACTCTCTTCGTGCTGCCAGTCCTACTGTCACGCGTCTCCTGGCTACTGTTGTCACTGACCCTTCCTTTGAGTCCACTGCTGCGTCTGCCTTGGTTGCTGAGCTTGTCGACTTTGCTGCTCGCTGTCCTCTAGACTACGCCGCTAGTCTTGTTGCTGAGTCTGGGTCTGTCTGTCCTCCGTCCGTCGGGGGTGAGTGTGCTCTTAGCACGGACGTCCTTGAGGACAGGCAGGAGGAGTTCCAGTGTTTTGCTGCTGCTTTGCCTCATCTCGTGTCCACGCTGATTGCCCCTGAGGGAGACCCGGATGCACCAGACATCCCGACTCCTCGATCGTACGCTGAGGCGATCGAGGGTCCCCACTCCTCACAGTGGCAGTCAGCCATGGACGCAGAGATGGCTTCCTGGAAGTCCACAGGCACCTACGTCGACGAGGTTCCCCCACCTGGGGCGAACATCGTCAGTGGCATGTGGATTTTCAGGGTGAAGCGGCCGCCGGGTTCTCCGCCTGTCATCAAGGCGCGTTACGTGGCTCGAGGCTTCAGTCAGCGGCAGGGAGTTGACTACTTTCAGACCTTCTCTCCCACCCCGAAGATGACCACTCTTCAGGTGCTGCTGCACATAGCCGCTCAGCGCGACTACGAGCTTCACTCTCTTGACTTCAGCACAGCTTTCCTACAGGGCAGCCTGCACGAGGAGATCTGGCTGTGCCGCCCACCTGGCTTCACTGGGTCGTTTCCTCCTGGTACCCAGTGGAGCCTCCGGCGGCCAGTCTACGGTCTCCGCCAGGCGCCCCGTGAGTGGCACGACACACTGAGGACTACACTTGTGGCTCTTGGGTTTGCTCCTTCTACTGCCGACCCGTCGCTGTTTCTGCGCACCAACACCTCTTTGCCGCCGTTCTACATCGTCGTGTACGTCGACGACTTGGTCTTTGCCACTGCTGACACTAAGGCTCTCGCCCTGGTGAAGTCGGAGCTGCAGAAGAGACACACGTGCACAGACCTGGGTGAACTGCGCAGCTACCTTGGCTTGCAGATCACCTGGGACAGAGCACAGCGCACCATTACCCTGACTCAGTCACACATGGTGCAGCAGGTCCTTCAGCGGTTCGACTTCACGTACTCCTCGCCTCAGGCCACTCCTCTGTCTACTCGCCACTCGCTCTCAGCTCTGCCTTCGGATGAGTCTGTAGAGCCGAGTGGCCCGTACCCAGAGCTTGTTGGCTGCCTCATGTACCTGATGACCTGCACTCGACCTGACCGTGCATACCCTCTTAGCATCTTGGCACGCTATGTTGCTCCTGGGAGACACCGATCAGAGCACATGGCTGCAGCGAAGAGGGTGTTGCGCTACTTGTGCAGTACGTCGGGCATGGGGCTAGTGCTTGGAGGGCGGCGTTTAGTGGTCCTCACAGGTCACGCAGACGCTTCTTGGGCTGACGACCAGGCTACGCAGTGGTCGTCACAGGGTTACACCTTCAGCCATGGTTCCGGCTCTGTTTCGTGGCGGTCTACCCGCTCGTCTTCTGTTCTCGGCTCCATCCGTGAGGCTGAGATCTACGCGGGGGCCATGGCTGCACAGGAGCTACGCTGGCTCACCTACCTGCTGACTGACCTAGGAGAGTCGCCTCGTTCTCCTCCAGTTCTGTACGTAGACAACAAGGCCATGCTGGCCTTGTGTCGGGAGCACAGACTGGAGCACAGAACGAAGCACATTGCTCTTCGCTACTTCCTTGCTCGTGAGCTACAGCAGCGTGGTCAGCTGCGCCTTGCTTACGTGGCCTCTCAGGCCAACACTGCTGATATCTTTACCAAGGCACTTCCGCCTTGTGATCATCAGCGCTTCTGTACGATGCTAGGTCTTATGCCTACTTGGCCTCACTTGCTCACTTCTTGACCTTGCTTGTACTGTGATCTATCTATACCTGCACTTGCTTGTTTGCCTTTATATATGATCTTGCATGTGAACTGGCCTTGTGGCCTTGAACTTGTGCTCGGAATGTGTGGTGACGTTGTGATCCACCCTGAGCTTGCTTTGCTTTGCTTGACTGGTCTTGTGACCTCTTGTTCTCCCCCACTTTGCCTATGGGGGTGTGTCAAACTTATATGCTATAGTCTGTGTAGGCTGTAGTGGGGTAGACAATATGGGGTACAACACTTTTAGGTTTTCCTACTTGTACCCATCTGTTTCCTAGTGCACACATTACTCGTTCTTTCACAAGTGCGTGCTGCAGATGTTTTTACAACGAATCAGCATCAAAATTGCCTATTCTTTACAGTACATTAGCGATAACTTACATGTGACGAGATTTTGGCTCCGAAATCTCGTTACCACGCAACCATTTTCCTAGCGTAACTGGGAGATACTCTCGACAAACGAGTGTATTCGGATGTCCCAGCTGTTGAAGTGTGCGTTGCTCACGTCCTGGCACTCCACTGCCATTTCGGAAGTGGGCATTCCAGGAAACTTTGCTCCGATAAGCTCGCAGAGTGCACCCCCGATACAAGTCAGAGGTTCAGCCTACATCAATAAAATTAGGCTGAAATTTCAGAGAACTCATAAACAAAAACTCTGAAAAATCAGACAAGGTACATAAAAAAATTCTTAGACTTCAGACTAGGTACAAAAAAAAAGTCTGAACGGACTCTGAATCAGACTAAAAAGTTTGATATCTAGGGCACTGCTACAAATTATTGCCCTGAAAAATCAGGGCATTTTGAAGAGTTTTCAAGAGTTGCCCTGAGGGCTCAGGGTGTCCTAAAACCTAGCACAGGCCCTGATAGGCACCCCAAATTTGACCTTTGTCACTTTTCCAACCCATGTCATCCACCTCACCCAACTTGGCCACACTTGCCAACCTGGTTTGGCTTCTCCCAACCACTTGGCTTCAATCTACAGTAGAGTGACTAATTTCCCCAACCCCAAAAGTCTACACCCCATATTGAGTCACTCCAAAGTTGCCGCATCACAAACATCAAAAGCATACGAGCTTCAAATGTTCGTAGCTTTCGTCTTCGTGTTCTGATTGAAGCGATCCTTGGCTCGTCGAAAAGCACTTGAGCAGAGGAGTCACTTCAGATATCTGCTCAAGCAAAATATCAGTCACACACACTCAGAGGATCCAAACCACACCAAACACAAATTCTTGCACACGCTCACACCACACATGCAACGCACAAACATATGATAGGAGGCAGACAGACGTGAATGCAAATGATAGCATTACATAACAATGCCTTCGCTCAATGCAGGGCCTCACATTGGTTTTAGATAGCACTTTTTGGTCAGTGTTGGTTCAAAAAAAACTTTCTGTCAGGGTCCTTATGTGAAAACACCCTGGAAAATCAGTGTTGTCTCTAAAAACCATTAGTGTTGATAACAATTAATAGGCTGATTGATTGCACCAGACCAGACCAGACGAGGGTATCATCATCATTAATGCATGTATTTGGTTTGGGAAACGCTTTTCATTATAGTTCAGCAAGCGAACACTAATACCACATCGCATACAACCACTAATACCACATCGCATCCTCGTCACCACTGTTTGCTGCACCTACATCCTCTTCATCTAGGTCTACTGGGTTGGCCTGGTCTCCTCCTGCCTCTGCCTCCTCCTTCCCCTGCCGCCTCCTATCTGCCTCCTGCCTGCCGATGTTGCAGGTGTTGAGCGGCTTCCGCTTCTTGTAGTTACGCCAGATCTCCACGGTCTCGTCCTAGTTAGGCTTGTAACGGAGCAGCGACATGCACATTAAGTCACTAAGCCGAGCATCTTTGAGGCTTCCTCGCTGCCAGGACTTAATGACGTTCTGCCGCAAGAAGTCGCGCTCACATTCGACTGTGCTCAACGGCAGGACCGCCACCGCCACCCACATCCGCACCAGGTTCGGGTAGTGCTCCTGCCAGTCATTGGTCTTGGACATGGCGGTAAGCCGAGTGTGGAATCCTCACTCACCCTTCGGTGCACGTGCAAGGACGGGGATTAACAGTTGCACTTCCTTGATTGCTTTCTTCTTGTCGACCCCTGCAGTCAGAAAAAACAAGCATAGATTGAAGAACATCTTTGAAATCAAAGAAATCTGAGATGACACAAGGATGTAGAGGCACGGCATGCACACATAAGGTGATCCTGGCGAGTGGATGCTCGTCAATCCGCGGCTGCCTCGTCGCTCCAACGAGCTGATCCTGCCGTTGTTTCGCGAGCTTGTGCTTGTTGGTGGCAGCGTGTTGCGTGAATGCCTGCTTTTGAACGTCGACTGCACCTTCGGTGCACTTGCCGGTCTTGCCAAACAATCATGCATGTTCCAGACACACAGAACACTTGAAAGTAGGGAGACCAGTTGAAGTTTTGACAAGCTGCAACCAGGCAAATTGCCCTTGCCACCGTGTTTTGAACCTATCAAGAGCAATGGCATAAAGCTCCTCGGCAGTAGCAGACGGCTGGTTTGAGGCTGCAGCTTCGAGTACGGGCGGAGTGGGAACGTTGGTGGGTGCCGTCGGTGGCGCTTGTGAAGGTCGAAGGAAGTTCAACTTCGACTGTACGAGCCGAGCAGCCGGGGACGCCGATGCAGCTGCCTGAGGGTGAGATGCAAGTGGAACGAGCCGACCTGCAGGGGACGCCATCTCAAAACCTGGTGGTTGAGCCGGAGTAGTAACCATAGGAGAAGCCGGGAGAGGTGCTGCTGGTGTTGACGGCGAAACATGTACTGTCGTGGGTACAGTTTCGGTGACATCGGGTGGCGTTGAGGTATTAATAACTGGGGCGACAATTGAGTCTGGTGGGGCGGAATTTACGGTGGGAATAGCCGTCGCTGAAGTAATGGGTGGATTCTTGCTACTCGATGGAATGGTTGCTTTCGATAGCGAATACAGCAACAGGTCCAGACCCGTGCGTGCTATCTCCATCTCCATGTCATCAGCCTCGTCGCCGGCAGCAGCACCATCAACGGGTCCAGCCATGGCGGGAGTAAGGACGAGAGAAGGAGGGTGGAGTGGAGAGTCAGCCAAGAAACAGCGAGAACGAAGCACACCTGACCTAACACGGCGCTCAAGAATGGGGTGAAAGGGATGGGGAAGGGAGGGTCACCACACCTCGTTGGTGATTGGTTGACAGCCTCAACAAACACCACCATGCAGGCGTGGATGGTCCCTCATGGGCCATCCACGAAATGAGATGTGCCCCTATTTTCGGCTCGATTCCACAGCGTCACGGTTTACGACCGTGACGCAGTGGAATCTTGTCAGCCCTGGCCATGTGATTGGGCACGGTGTGTGATTACCTGAAACTGCCCAATCACTTGCCAGCTTGACCAGGGCTCTTGCTAGGATTTGGGCCTGTCTGACATACCTAAGTAAAAAAACCGTTCCGTCTGACGTTCAGACGGGCATATTTTTTTGGTCTGCTTTTTTGGACGAATGTTAAAGCTTAGTCTGATTCTTCATACGATTCAATTTGCACAGTCTGATTTAGCACACTTGTCTAACATAATCACGCTTGTTTTGTTAATGAACGCGCCCCTGGCGCGGTGCTGACAGCTCGCTAGCTGACAGACAGCTGTGTGGCTATTGAGGGGCACTCACATGACAATGAGGGGCTGCGACGCGAGGGATCAGGGTGGGTGGAGGTGGAGGGACGCGAAGGGAAGGGGGGGCTGGGCTGCGAGACATTAGGAGGGGCATGAAAGCGGGCTAGGCTGGGAGCGAGACCTGGAGAGACCTCAGGTTGGGGAAAGGGGGAGAAGGGTTGGACAGGACTAGGCCTGGAAGAGGAGCGAGGGCACAGAAGGGGGGGCTGAGCTGGTAGAGTAGCGAGAGATCGCGGGGGAAAGGGAGGGTTGGGGGGAGGGGGATCGGTATCAGACGAAAAACAACTCGTTCTCTGAAATTTCAGACTAACTATAGAGCTTGCTCTGAAATATCAGATGAACTAAAATCAGTCATCTTACGGATCAGACGAAATAAAAAGCATCGTCTGAGATCAGATGAAAGCGAAAATCTACGTCTGAAAATCAGACCATCAGACCAATTTGGTCTGATAACGAGAGCCCTGAGCTTGACAGATGATGGCGACAACACATCAAGTCAGGTACGTGTGTGGATACAGAAAAGATGTCATTTCCCGTGATTGACGGTGACGGCGGATTGGCGGGATTTTTTTTTTTTTTTTTTTCCAGATAAACTGAATCTAGGCATTTTCGCAACAAAACCTGTACCCTCTATTGTATGATTCGATTCAGGGTCCCCAAGCAAAATCACGCTGGAAATTCAGGCCTAGTACGCAAAAGTTAGCTGGAAAATCAGGATAGGCATAAATAAATAAACTTTCTCATCAGCGCTGCTGCGATTGTCTCCAAGGGTCGCGCGTGCTTCTTGATCTGAAATCTCCCTTAAAAAAACAGATTTCGTTACAAAAAACGATGAAATTGTCATGGGGGGTGTACTCAAAATTTCAGAAAAAATGGGGGGTGTTCTAACTGGGGTATTTTTGAGTACACCCACCGCAATTGAACACCCGTGGGTGTTCTATTTTGGGGGGTGTACTATGCGGGGGATTACGGTAGCTGGGCATGTGAGATGTGCTTTGCTGTGTGAATCCTGGCATGCATATGTGGCACTGCACTGCAGGTTTCACTACTACGGCACTACCGTACCATAGCAATCACGCCTTCATGGCTGACCAACTACAGTATCCTCTCTGCAGCATGATGGTCCCTGTCCTGGATACCCTTCAATTGCTGTCCGTCATCGCCGTTGTCTTCAGTGTCCGTGGCAGGCAGTGTCATCATCACTGTCAGCAGCAGCAGCAGCAGCAGCAGCAGCAGCAGCAGGAGTAGGAGGCGGCCAAATATGGTACCGTACCACTTTTGGGCCGTGTTATCGGTGATTACTAGTAAAAAATATGAAACATCAGAGCTACGCTAGGGGCACCAAACAGCTTATTCTTCGAACAGAAACAAAGAGAACGGAAACTTGCAAGGTGCCTACTACCTACTAGGCTTTCAAAAGGGCCAGAGGGAAACATGCGGATTCAAACCAACTAAAGCGCACGGGTGAACTCCAACTTCTCATGTACTCAACTCTGTGCAGCGTGGCAGCACGTAGACATGGCACTGCGGCACTGCTACTACCACCATCCGCGTCTTGAAAGTTGAAGGGCGCATGATGGTCGCAGAGCACCCGTTCAATCACTGTCGTCATCGTCATCGCTATCGGTGTCCGTGTCTGTGTCATCGCTGTCGCTGTCGTTCGCTGCAGCAGCAGCAGGAGGGGCCTTCGCAGCAGGAGCAGGAGCAGGAGCAGCTGCAGCAGTCGTCGCCGCCACCGCTGCCGCCGCCGCTGCTGGTTTCTCCTCCTTCCCTGCAGTTGATTCGTCCCCTGCAGCAGCCTTCCCAGAAGCAGCACCTCCACCACCACCGCTACCATCAGCCGGCGCTGCGGCGCTCTCCTCTGCAGGCACGCCTAGGGCAGCAGCGACAGCAGCGGACTTGTTGATGTTGCTGTAGGTGCCCTTGACGAGGAAGAGCTGGTTGTAGTGGTGCTTGCAGTACAGGCTGCCGTTCAGCGCCGCGTAGTTGGACGTGGTCAGGCTGCAGTTGCTGTGCACGCACCGGAAGCACTGCTTGTGGTACGTCACTCCCTCCACACTGATCTGTTGTGTGGGAGCAGAGGCATGGGCAGGGATGGGGAGAACGGAGGGGACAGGGAAGAGGTTTGGTGAGGGTGCACGGGAGGTGTAATTCGCAAGCTTATACCAGTGGAACACTTATAGAGAAGCTGGCGTGTGGTGGTGAGTTCAGCCGCTTCCACCGTGATCTGCTGCATGGAACATGCACAGGCAGGCACATGGGGGGAGCAAGGCAGGGCAGAGCGTGTGGTGAGGATGGGCTGGGGGGTGGTGGGATGACCTATCGAGGCGCCTCAAAAGAGGATGTGGTGGCTCTAACTCGTAAGCCTACACACCAGTGGACTTGGAAGCACTGCATAGAAGCATATACCGGCCCCGGCCGTGTTGTGGGCAAAGTTGCGGGGAAGGAGGAATTGGGACGTGAGGTGGCTGAAGGGGGCATGCACGGTCGTGGTGATGTGAAGGATCTGGAAGGCTGCTGTGGCTGTGCGGCACATTTGAAAGACTGATCGTGCTGCTGTTCATGCTTATCCGGCGCGGAATGAGAGGATTCAAATCAAGGGCGGAGGGACTGGGGAGAACGGGGCATGTGTTAAGCTATGCACGGGTCGTGGCGAGAGGGGCAGTGATCGGATGCACATAGTGGACACGTGCCTTCGTTGCATGGTTCTCCCTTCCCACACACTGTTCCCTCCCCTTTTCCTCTCCCCGTCCCCCTCTTCCCCAGCGGCCCCACTCCCTTCCCTCCTCCCCCCCCCTCCCCCCCCCCCTTTTACCCCTCTTTTCCCCACGATTTCCCCGCCCCCTGCGTGCGCGCACCTTTTCAAGCGGGTACACGGTCTTGCTGCAGACCTTGCACTTGTCCTGCGTGCCGCCGAACTTGAGCGCCAGGGGGCTGGGCGTCGACCGCTGCCGGGGGGAGCGAGGGGGGAAACGGGGGAAACAGGGAAAAGGCAGGGATGGGGAGCGGAGGGGAAGGGGGCGTATGAAGCGGAGTGGGCGGGAGGGGAGACGGAGCACGAGATAGAGCGGCTAAGCGGAGGGCAGTGCGTGATGGCGGAGGATGGCTAACCTTGTAATTTTTAACCTTGCAAATGAGGGCTCACCTTCTCGGTTGCCTTGACCACTGCTGAGGGCGTGAGGCCTGTCGGGGGCATGGGCAGCGAGCATGGGGGGAAGTCGGAACACACACGAGGGACACATAATTGGATCACTGAGACAAGAGGAGGCCGCGAGGGTGGGGTTCCGAGCAGAAGCAAGTGTGGAATGGAAACGAGACAACGCAACGCAACAGGACACGGCACAGCATGACAGGGCTGGCACGGAGCTGCTAGCATTGGTCCCTGCTGTACTAAATCTATCACGGGGTTACTCCCAATACAGAGCCCCTTTCCACTCTCTCACCCCTCTCCTCTCCGACACCCCAACCATGTCCGCACGCCTCTTCCCCTGACCCTCGCTCTCCCTACTCTCCCTCGCCCTCTCCATCCTTATTCCCCCCATATTCCCCTTACACCCGCCAATTCCCCTGCCCTCCCCCGTATCCTCCGCCAATCTCCCGCTTCCCTCCGCCTGATCCCCCCCCAACTTTCCCTCCTGGCCCCCCTACCCCCCCTCAAGCCAACCCCACTCGTGCGTTAGCTCACTCTCGGGCGGGGGCGTGGCGTCCTTCTCGGCCTTGATGGCGCCCTCGAAGCTGCGCGTGTACGACCCCGTCTGCTTGAACAGCTGCTCGAAGTGCGGCTTGCAGTACGGCACGCCCTCGATCGCCGCGAACGAGTTCAGCTGCAGGGGGCGGGAACGGGGGAGGGGAGGGGAGGCGGGAGGGGGAGGGACGGCGGCAGGCGAACGGTGAAGGGAGATAGAGGAAAGACGGAAGGAGGAGGGGAGACGCTAGGAGACGGGAGGGGCAAAGAACGGGAGTGGATGAACAGAAAAGATCGGGTGGGAAGGCGGGAAGTGAAAAGGACGACGGGAGGGAGGAGCAGAGGAGGAGAACAGGTGTGGGTAGGAGAAAGAGGGAAGCGTGACGGGCGTGGGTGCAGGTGCGAAAGTGAAGTGAAAGTGAGAGCTTTAATCGGTTCTCAATCGTGTACACGCGCCCTTTGCATTGCCCTATCAAATTCTCCCATTCTCCCGGTCAATCATTTGCCCCGATCGTGTGAAATTGACCTCCGCACGCACTCATCCCCCTCGCCGCTCGTCCTCCGAGCACTATCATTCCCATTTCCGCTCGTCCCTTGCGCACTGCAGTTCTGTCCTTCTCCGCGCTAGCGCGTCTCTCGGCACTCACCGAAATGGTGGCTTTGCAGTGCGCGCATCTGAGGGGAAAAGGGAGAGAAGCGGAGAGGGTCGGGCGGAGAGGGGAAGGATGCGGAGATAAGAATTCGTTCTTCACCTGTGCATAGGGTAGCTTGATGTTAGCGTCTTTCGACTCAATTTGAGCTCAACGGTAGATGTTGTATGCAGTGTTCGTGACTTCAAGGGTTGAAACCGCTCGAGTTGCGGAGCGATTTTTTCCGGGCGACTAAACGAAAGCTCTGGCGGCTCGAGCCGCTAGTGCGTTCCGGCACGGTGCCAGGACCTCGTCTCACACGTGCGGCGCCGCGCGCTCGAGACCGTGGTCGGTGGCATGGACGAGGAGGAATGGCAGGACGCGAGGAGGAATCGCTTGTCCGCACGGAATGCGCAGAGGAGCACGACACGGATAGGAGCAGAAGAGAACTACAAGGAGCGAGAGAAGCACGAACGGCGCGCGACTGTGCGGTTACGATGCAAGGCTGGTATCGAGGCGTCTCAGTACCAGCCATTCCCCGCATTAAGGTGAAATTCAGTACAGAGTACGGAGTTTGACTGGTTCGGGTGGTGAACCGGCAGCAACGGCGATGGTCTGCACGCGTGTTCGCGCCTTGTTAGAGAACGCGACGCGACGGTGACAGAGTGCGGGGTGCGGGGCGCGGGGGCGCGGGGCGCACCTGAAGCAGGCCCGGTGGAAGATGATGCCGTTGGCCGTGAGCTGCTCCATGGGGTACACCGTCTTGGCGCACGCCTTGCACTTGCTCTGCGTCCCCGTGAACGACGCCATGCCGCCCGCCTCCCGCCCGCCAAACAAAACCACTCTTTTGCCGCCTCTCCGCCTCTGCGCCTTGATGCCTTTCCGCTTTCCTCGCGCTCTGTCCGCCTAATTCGCGTCTTGGGCTACGCGGGGCGCTGAGAGCTGGGGTACGGCCGGGAATGGATATGCTGCGTGGGTGGGACCAACAAGCGAAGAGCGAATGCGCCTGGACGGGCAGAGGAAGGGTCAATAGGGCCTTCTACCTCTGTTGCACGACGCAAGGAGGGAGCTTGGGAGCACGCGAAGAGAAGGACATCTAGACTCAGTACGAGACGGAAGTGAAGAAAGGTGGGTGTGTGTTTTCACTGAGTGGTGGAGTCCAGTGGAGGATGACTGGCACACTGATTCTCGCCGTGAAGAGATGGTGCGGTAATTTGAGGAGGCCTATTGGGGGGTCACGATGGACGGGTGGGTGGGAGGGGAGTGGTGGATAATGGGTCGTGCGCGTGGGGTGAGGGTGACTGGTGGAAAGGTGAAGCCAACCCTCCTAAGGTCTATCTAGCTAGAGCCAATCCGTGGCTCATGTGTCATGTGGTGGTGGTGGAGTGGAGTCGACGGGGGGTGCTCGCTACCGAGTGAAAGCAGGAGGCGCGATTATCGTGTTGGGGGGAATTGGCCTGGGATTTAGTTTTGGGTGTCACGTTTGTGTTAGACTTCGGTACCGGAAATGCGAGGGACCTTTCAGTGGAAGCGTAAACAAGTATCCTGACCGCGACCCTGAAAAGCTCGGTGTTTACAATAAACCGCAAGAGGGAACATGGTTGGCCTATATCCAGAAACAGAATGGGAACTGGGACATCCGGAAAATTGTTTCCTGCCCCTGCAACGCACGCGACGACTGGTCGCGGATGTGGGCTCCGCGTCCTGTCGTGTGCGGCGCGCCAAGCTGGCCGCGAGGGTGTGTTTGCGAGATCTCTCCAATATTGAGAATGCGCGTTTAATTTGTAGCTGCTAAACGCTCCCTCACGTTGTGCACTGGTTAAAGCACTCTCACGAAATCCTATAATTGATACTATTGAGTGCATGCTTTGAGCAATATCACCCTCAAACTATGTATTTATTAACCTGTATGTAATCTCTGTTGATAATATGTTGTATCTTAATTCTCAACTCAAGAATTTGAGTTGACGACTCAAAACAAATGTTTTGCCTATCCATTTCCGAGGAGATGCTGAAAAGAGGATTTTCCATCGCCGCGTTTGGCGCGTCACACAATCGCCAGAGGAGTCAACTTTTAGAAATCCCACGCAACCCCACAAAACAAACCTAGAAAGCTGATCTCAATACCAGACCGAGGATTTTCCCTACGCGTCTCGCATACAACGTAGCACGATGGGTGAAATCGTGTCGGAGGACCACGTCGTTCAGGAACTAGTCAGATCAGTGGAGGATATACCCATCGGCATCGCGGATGTTCTGACGGTGCTGCAGCAGCTGTGCTCAGAGCACGACCCCAAGGACATGTCCGCCGTGCTGCACCATGCCCAGACATACGCGCTCGACGACTTGCCCCGGCTGCGCCGCCTCGTGCGTCTCTCCATGCGCCCCTTCGAAGCCGCGTGTCATTACCCTCTCGCTAACTTCCCCGCAGTCATGCAAGGTACCATCACTGCAACCGCCGCTGCGACGAGACCTGCGCCCTCTCTTTTCTACCTTAACGTGCGCTCTCCTTTTTCTCGAGTTTGGCTGCTGAGTCCACAGACCTGCGTGGCGGCGCGCTTGTCTGAGATTCGTCTCCGTCACGGATTTCCGTGACGCCATGCATCTTGTGCAAGCGTTAACTCATCTTCCCGTCCATCCTCTCTCATTTCCGCATGCGCACTTCCTCTTCCGCACCGTTACCATTCCTCTCTCGCACCCTGCACAGCAACCCACCTCACTCACTCTCTAACTTCCACCCACTCACTGTTTCACTTTTCCGCTCACTCGAGGTCAACGGTCCTTCACAATACCCGCCCTGGATCTCCTCCCCGTGCACCACTCTCAGACCAACAAATGCCGTTCTAATAACCGCCGTTCCGCCCCCGTCCGTCACCCCTCTGTCCAGAGCTGGCGGCGTCATTTCCCAAGGACGAGAAGGAGGTGGTCGCAATCAGAGCCGCGCACCGGCGCGCTGGTAACCAGAAAGCACGTCATCTTGCAGCCACGCACCGTGCAGGAGCAGTACGAGCAGCAGGAGGAGCAGGAGCAGGGGCCACAGGAGCAGGAGGAGCAGGAGCAGGAGCAGCAGGAGCAGGAGAAGGAGCAGGAGCAGCAGCAGCAGGCACATGGGGACCTGGGTTGGTAGCAGGAGCAGAGTGAGGGTGCATTCCTGCTGGCGAATGGCGACGGTTTGCAGCAGCAGACGAATGGAGATCTGAAGTGGCAGGCAAACGGAGATGTGAAGTGGCACGCAATCGGAGATGTGAAGTGGCAGGTGGATGAGGACGTGCAAAAGGAGGCTCTGCCGTTTATTCAAACCGCGTCTCCCCCCCTCCTCTCCTTCCTCGGTCACCTCGGCCATCTCGCCAGCACCGTGGTCAAGGTTCGCCACCTCCCACTCGGCTACGTCTCACACCTCTGCCACTCTTTTTCTTCATTTGACTGATGTCACCTTCTTTTTGCTTTGACCTCCTATCGTGTCTCTTTCGTCACCATTGGAACCCTATGAATCATTGGGCTTTTTTTCTATTCTGCTTCGTTCCCCCGTTCTTTCTCCTTTCTTGTTATTTCTTGGAACCCTGTCCAATGCGATATCACCTGTGTTTCTATGACCACTCATGGCCAAACCATTTCTTCCTTTTCTCCTCCATGCACATCTCCTCGTGTCCACATCCATTCACATGCCCGGTGCCACACCCAACCCATCAGGCCTCTGACAACTACCTTCATCTCAACAAGCAGTTGGCGTACATGCTTCAACCCTCTCCCACCCTGGACTCAACAGCAGCACCTTCAAGTTTGTCAGAATGTCGATGTTTGTCTAGCCTGCAGTGGGGTACTCTATAGCGAGTACAACCTGAATTAGGGTTTGCTATATGTACTCAACTGCCTGCTAGTGAAAGCCTCTCTTTCCTGCTTCTGATTCTTGCCTATAGTTTTGACATGCTATCAGAGCAGGTCGACCCACCTAATGCTTCCGCTGCTGTCCTGCCTATCGCGCGCCCCGGGCGCACGACGTGTTCTGCTTGCCGCGCGCTCGGGTGCACGGCGTATTTTTCATCCCGCCGCGCGCTCGGGGCGCGCGGCGGTTTTCTGCTCGCCGTGCGGCCCGAGGCGCGCGGCGGTTTTCTGCCCCGTCGATCCGCACGTCGCCCCCCGTCGCCCGTCGCAGCGCCCCCGGGGACCCGCGCGTCGCCCCCCGTCGCCCGTAGCGGCCCGCGCGACCTGCGCCAGGCCCGCGCGCGGCCCGTACAGCCCGCGCGCGGCCCGTACGGCCTGCGCCAAGCCCGCGCGCGGCCCGTACGGCCTGCGCCAGGCCCGTGCGCGGCTCGTACGAGCTACGCCAGGCCCGCGCGCGGCCCGTACAGCGCGCGCGCGGCCCGTACGGCCTGCGCCAGGCCCGCGCGCGGCCCGTACGGGCTGCGTCAGGCCCGCGCGCTGCTCGGGCAGCCCGCGCGCGGTTCGTCTGGCCTGCGCCAGGCCCGTGAGCGGCCCGTACCGTCTACCCCAAGTGCCGCACGCCGTCCCCCGAGCTTCTGACCGCACTCCTGTGTTAGGGTTTGGGGGTGGAGAGTATGGGGGTGCCGTGTGTGTGAGCCGTCCCCTGCTCCTCCTCCTCCTCCGTCTCCCACTGCTGCAGCTGCCGTTGAGGGGGGTGGATGTGTTGGAGCCGTCGGAGTGGTACGAGGGGGGTGGCGTGTGAGCGGTGGTAGTGGTTCAGCAGGGGGTGTGGGAAAGGGGTGTGGGACAGTTGGGGGAGGTTGACCGGAGGTAGCCGACTTGTCGTCCGCATCGCCTTAAGTCCAGAGAGCCACGACCCCCTGTGGCCGTGTAGTCCGGGGCTCTGCGCCCGGTAGCCACAGTGTGAGTATTCCTGGTAGTCCAGAGAGCCACGACCCCCTGTGGTCGTGTAGTCCGGGGCTCTGCGCCCGGTAGCCACAGTGTGAGCACTCCTAGGAGCACAGTGAGCCAGCTGCGCCTGTCGCCGTGTAGCCCGGGTTTAGCCTGGTAGCGTCAGTGCTGCGCACTCCTGTTGCCCGTGTGTCTGCAGCTTCAGCCGTCGCCTCGCATCTTCTCGCCCTCCATAGTTTCTCCTCCTCCTCACTTGCTCTCTGTGATAGCCTCTAGCTTTGTTTATCCTTGAGAACTATTGCACTGCCTGCTTGTTGTGTTGATTATACCCCACTTTGACTATGGGGGTGTGTCAGAATGCCGATGTTTGTCTACCCTGCAGTGGGGTACTCTATAGCGAGTACAGCCTGAATTAGGGTTTGCTATATGTACTCATCTGCCTGCTAGTGAAAGCCTCTCTTTCCTGTTTCTGATTCTTGCCTATAGTTTTGACAAAGTTTACAGGAGAAGAATCAGCCGCTGCACAGTGCGCTTGCTTGCAGACAGAAACGCGTGGATGCTGCTTGGAAGCAGTTGTGTGCACTGCAGGGGCAGGTGGAGAGGGAGGTGAGCCACTTGCGAGAAGCAGTGCACTGGATACAAGTAGCAGCAGCTGAAGCAGAAGCAGGCGCAGCAGCAGAAGCAGTAGCAGCAGAAGCAGCAGCAGCAGCAGCAGAGTACGAAAAGGAGGAGGTACAGCAGAATGGGGGGTGGTCTTTTCGCAAGCTTTGGAATATTTGCTCTCGACAGCCTCTGGTGATGAAGCTGACAGTTCTGGTTGCCGTTCCTGTTGCTTGCTTCCAGCTGAAAGCCCGGTTTTCTGGCTTCCATGGGCTATGGTATTCAAGAGTTCTTAGACTTGGGCGTGCGCAACATGTCTGCTTCTTGCCTGCCTTGCAGAATTCTTGAAAACATGAGTGAGTGCTACAGATTTGTAGCTTGTGTAATACCTTAGCAATCAGGTTGGGAGTTGTGAGTTTGTGCGAAACTATTTTGCATGTACGAACTGAAACTCGGGTTGGGTGACTGTGCATACCGTTACCTGACAACTCACCTGCACTACGCGGGAAAAAAATACTTGGGCGGTGGAGGCAGGCCCTCGTAAGTCAGGAATTTTGCCCTGATTTCCTGAAGTTTTACCCTACTTTTTTTGTAGTGACCCTGATGTATCAGTCTGTTTTTTAAACGACCCTGATGATTTAGTGTTTTCTGTTTCCAAAGACTGATTTCTCAGTGTTTTGTGTTTGACGACACTGACGAGTCAGTGTTGTATCGGAGACGACCCTGAAACCGAAAACTCTATGATTCTCGCTGTTTGGTGCTCCGTCATCATTCAGTTACCCACCGTGCACCGACGCCACCCTGCGGCTCGACCAGATACAGCTGAAATGGGTGATTTTCGGTAGTGTTGGCAAAACGGCGTAAACTCATTGGCTGTCCAAGCTGGTGCAATGTATCGTTGTCTCTGAGGATTGCCAACACATGTCAATTCTGGGCTTAGGTGCGCACAAACACGCCCAGTGTCCCAGTAGGCCAGTGGTAAGCCGTGTCCGTTTCAACACGCAAGGGCGTGCTGGGGCAGTCCGCTCAGCCACCCCGTGCAGAAGGTCTCGTGAATCTTTCATTCTTGCTCTCCATCCCTACCAACCACCATCCCTCTCAGCAGGCTCTCTCAAACCCTCGCGGCAGGCTCTCTCTCTCTAGCTACTACTCTGCAATTCACGGTGTTGGCATGAACGAGCCATGGCGATCACCGGTGAGAACAACACCGGTGATGATGACGCCGATGCCCTTTACGCCGCGACGGAGATGCGTGAGGCAAAAACAGGACTAGATTTTCTAGTCTCCACGCTCTCCCATGAAAAAGAGAAGCAAGCTTCCCTCACTTCAGGTGCATAGACTGCCGAAGCGTGTGACATCTGCCGCGGGGACGATTGCCCCCCGCCCGCGCGTAATGCCAGTCGTGGCGTCAGCAGCTGGCCCGAGCGTCCGCTTGCCATCTTGTGCCTCGTCGTCGAAGCCTCCCGCTCGTTACAAGCAGGCTGTGCTACGCTGGGCTGATCCAACAGCCCCTGACCATCCTCTCGCTGATGCTGGCGAGTCGGTAAACCACGTTACCGACAGTCCTTCAAAGTCGCGAAAGCAGTCACTTACCGCTCTGATTTACGAGGAAGCGTTGGACTCGTTCAAGTCCACTTGGTCGAAAGACTTCCCGTGGCTTGTACTTATCAAAAACACTTCTGGCCTGCCTCCGTTCAAGTGCAGTTTGTACGTGGAGTTTTCAGGTGACGGTGGCAAGTGTGGCAAGGGTGGGCACGGTGCAACCGATCTTCAGACCCAAGCCTTCAAGCGGCATGCTGGGACGAACAAGCACCGGTTGGCAATTGAGCACCAGGAGAAGCTGCTAGCTCAGGCTAGGAATCAGCCGAAGATTGACGAGCATCCGCTCGCCAGGGAAGACGAGAAGACCCGCATCATTGCCCTCCTTAACTCCCTGCACTTCATAACCCAGAACAACTTGCCGATGGAGACGTGGGTGCGCTTCGTTCGGTACCTGGCTAAGAATGAAGTGCGGGGCTTCCCCACAAAGGGATACGGAACTTACTACACCACGTAAGTACTTTGTTTTCTATCCGCGTATGCAGTGCTTGTGAAGAAATGAGGAATGAATGAACTAGCACAAGGTTGGGTACAAGTAGGAAACCCTAGGAAACTGTACCCCATAGTGTCTACCCCACTATAGCCTAGACAAGCTATATGATATGAGTTTGACACACCCCCATAGGCAAAGTGGGGGAGAACAAGAGGTCACAAGACCAGTCAAGCAAAGCAAAGCAAGCTCAGGGTGGATCACAACGTCACCACACAATCCGAGCACAAGAGCAAGGCCACAAGGCCAGTTCACATGCAAGATCATATATAAAGGTAAACAGGCAAGTGCAGGTATAGAAAGATCACAGTACAAGCAAGGTCAAGAAGTGAGCAAGTGAGGCCAAGTAGGCACAAGACCTAGCATCGTACAGAAGCGCTGATGATCACCAGGCGGAAGTGCCTTCGTAAAGATATCACCAGTGTTGGCCTCAGAGGCCACGTAAGCAAGGCGCAGCTGACCACGCTGCTGCAGCTCACGAGCAAGGAAGTAGCGGAGAGCAATGTGCTTCGTTCTGTGCTCCAGTCTGTGCTCCCGACACAAGGCCAGCATGGCCTTGTTGTCTACGTACAGAACTGGAGGAGAACGAGGCGGCTCTCCTAGGTCAGTCAGTAGGTAG